CAATATGTTTTACTTGCTGCTATAAAATATATCCAATAAAAAATTAAATTTCTTAACAAATTTAGGCCAAAATGTATTCTTCCACATGTCTTTGGCAAAAAAAAAATCCCAATAAGTGTATATTGATTGGTTTGTGCAAGAGTTATAGCATCTACAAATGATTGTGTGTGTATATGTTTGTGTCTGTATATATGTGTGTGTGTGTGTGTGTATATATATATATATATATATATATATATATATATATATATATATATATATATAATTTATATATATATGAATTTATTATTATTATTTTATTTACTAGTAATGGCGGCGATCAGCGACTTATATTGGTACTGTGATAGTGCAGTGGGCAATCTGACACTAACTGACGCTGGGTGGGGAACTCATTAAATGACACTGACATCTCCAGTGACACTACTACAGTGAGCAGTGCTAATACTATACACTGACACTGTCAATGACTCTGGCTGGGAAGGGGTTAACATCTAGGGCAATCAAAAGATTAACTGTGTGTCTAGCAATGTTTTCTGTGTATTCTGTGTGCTGCTTTACTAAGCAATGTGCTGGTTTTTACTGCAGGGAGAAAGAAACGGGCACATTGTTGCTGTCTGTAGAGAGCGCTGTGTTGTTTACCAACACAAGGCGCTCTCCTGTTATTCACTCAACTGAATGACGGCACAGCCAGGGTGACGGCCTTGCATGCCCCCTACCCAGAAGAGCTGAATCACGTACATGTACTAAAGTCACCTATTCAAATGAATTCTCCTTTCATTTTTTACGGAGAATCCATACTGGTGTAGCGCTACCCTCTTGAGAGCCGCTGGTTTTGGGTCTCCTGTACTTCTTGTAGCCCATGGGCTTGTTTTTTTTTTTTTATTTTATTAGAGGATTAAACTTGGACAGGGTAAAGGGGTTATGGGATGCCCAATGTGATTGCAGAATAACAATTGGAGAACAACTTTGCTACAAAAATGGCAGATGAATGACTGTGATCCAGCTGGAATCCTGACAGTCTCTCTTTTAGCAAAATATAGTAACTTGCAGGACTCTGAGTTCCCTTGAATTGATTATAGCAACACCACAGCTTGTAGGAACTTCAAGTCACCTAAGTGTTCAAAAGACCAGCCCACCTCGGTAGGGTATATGATCCCAGGACAAAGGATTGGGTAAGCTATGGAGTCTCTCCTGAAGACTTGCCAGAACTTGCATCCAGCAGACTCCTCCCTTTTAGGCCCTGGGGGTGTAAATATACTCGCACTGTTCTTGCCCTGCAGCTGTGGATAGAACTGCTTTCAGGCCTTTGTTGCTGAGCTGGTTCCTTTCCAAGCTTGGCAAACTGTCCTTCCCCAGTGGACTGCGGGCCAGTGCAGCTCCCGCTTTCAGCTTTCCAGCCTGGAAACAGAACCCCCTCCTCCGGGGCTCCCTCCAAGGCTACACTGCAGCACCTCTCAGTACACCATCTTCCACCCAACTACTATGCTGGCCAGGCTCTTTCATATTTATGGGCCAGTCTGCCACACTGCCAGACCTGCAGCGTGGAACTGGCCAGGCTCCCATACGTATGCAGATCAGCCCCTCCTCACCTCCACCTACTGACTTCTAGAGACCTCTCCAAGTTTTAGAGCAGGGGGAGATACCAGAGGACTGACCTGTAAAGCTCTCCAGCCCTGACCTGAAGAACCCTCTGAACCCAATCTTCTAGCAAGCCTCTGACTACTCTAAACAGCTATGTATACCCAAGGGTGCTACACTGGATTCTTCGTGAGAAATTCAGGGAGAATTCACTTCAACAGGTGACTTTAGGTGGATAGCTGAAGATCTCCCTCTCGATTATAATTGGATTCCATAGAACTCATTTGTGTGGTGGAGAAAAAACTAATTATCCACTTATAGACAGTTTTTGGTAGAGTTTCATATACATTGGGGAAAATAATTATTTGATCCCCTGCAGATTTTGTAAGTTTGCCCACTTACAAAGAAATGAAGGGTCTATAATTTTTTATCATAGGCGTGTTTTAAATGATACAGACAGAATATCAACCAAAAATCCAGAAAAAAAGTACATGATACAAATGTTTTAAGCTGAGTTGCAGTTCAGTGAGTAAAATAAATATTTGATCTCCAAGCAAAACATGACTTAGTACTTGGTGGAGAAATCCTTGTTGGCAAGCACAGAGGTAAGAGGTTTCTTGTAGTTGTTTAGCAGGTTTGAGCACATTTCAAGAGGGATCTCTTCTTTACAGATCTTTTCTAAATCCCTAAGGTTTCTTGGCTATCGCATGGCAACTCGAACTTTCAGCTCCCTCCATAAATTTTCTATAGGATTAAGGTCTGGAGATTGGCTAGGCCACTCCATTACCTTAATGTGCATCTTCCTGATCCACTCCTTTGTTACCTTGGCAGTATGTTTTGGGTCATTGCCATGCTGGAAGACCCATCCACGACCTATCTTCAGTGTTCTGGCTGAGGGAAGAAGGTTCTTATCCAAGATTTTACAATACATGGCCCTGTCCATTGGCCCCTCAATGCGGCAAAGTCTGCCTGTACCTCTAGCAGAGAAATAGTCCCAAAGCATAATGTTTTAATCACCATGCTTGACTGTAGGGATGGTGTTCTTAGGGTCATAGTCAGCATTTTTATTCCTCAAAACATGGCAATTTGAGTTAATGCCAGATAGCTCAATTGTGATCTCATCTGACCACAACACTTTCTCCAAGTTTTTCTCTGAATCATTTAGATATTCATTGGAAAACTTCAGATGGGCCTGTACATGTGTGCCTTCTTGAGGAGAGGCACCTTGTGGGCGCTTCAAAATTTCAATCCATGGCAGCGTATTGTGTTACCAATAGTTTGTTTGGTGACTGTGGTCCCAGTTGCCTTGAAATCATTCACAAGCTCCTCCCTTGTAATTCTTGGCTGATCCCTCACTTTTCTCATGATCATCCTTACCCCATGAGGAGAAATCTTTCATGGAGCTCCCAACCTGAGGATGATTGATTGGTTATTTTGTATTTCTTCCATTTGTATATAATCGCTCCAACAGTTGTCTCCTTCTCACCAAGCTTCATGCTGATGGTCTTGTAGCACATTCCAGCTTTGTGAAGGTCTACAATAGTGTCCCTGATGCCCTTTGTCAGCTGTTTGGTTTTGCCCATGATGGTGAATGGAAGAGAGAGATACTGTGGACAGGTGTCTTTTATACACTTAACAAGTTGTCATTAGGAGCAGCTTCTTAAATTGAAAGGACTAATCTGTGTACCACATGATCACACAGCCAGTCTGTGGGAGCCAGAATTATTGTTGGTTGGTAGGGAATCAAATACTTATTTTACTCACTGAACTGCAACTCAATTTATAACATTTGTATCGTGTTTTTTGTGGGTTTTTGGTTGATATTCTGTCTCTATCATTTAACCCCTTCACGCTGACGCCTCCCAGAACTTTAAGGGGTTTCTGATGCCAGGAGGTGAGGTGGGGTTTAGGGTCATGTGATATTTGGTTGATATTCTGTCTCTATCATTTAAAACACGCCTATGATAAAAATTATAGACCCTTCATTTCTTTATAAGCAGGCAAACGTACAAAATCTGCAGGAGATCGAGTCATTATTTTCCGCACTGTAGAAAGCCCAACCCTGTTTCATTTTAGGCGGAATATGGGTAATGATATGCTGTTTTCTTATTTCTGTTAGGACTCCAAAATGCATATGCCTAGTTTATGCATAGGTCTACGAATCAGAAATCATTGAAACCACTGGATAAGCATGATAGCCAGGCCAGAAGGAGATTTTAGAAATGGAAGCCTTCATACTTCCTCAATAGACGTTTTATTTTAATTACCCTTGTAACCCTAGCTTGATTCTGGGGCATCTACTGATAGCTCGGTTATCCATTTTGGAAGGACTGGCCCTTTTAAACATGCATGCCATTAGTGTGCAAATACCATGTTAGAGCAATACTGGAGCATAATTATACATTTTCCAGTAGGTGGTATTTGTGTTGCCTGGAGGGAAATAACTTTTTCAAGAGTATCCGGACAGTTGTAAACCGGAGTTACTGTTACAACACCTGAAATAATGCTGAGGTCACTGCTGAGTACTGTCTGTAAAGTTGCTTGAATTTCTGGTTTGTTCTGATTTTCAGGTGCTTGTATGCTTTCATTTGCATTATACTAATCACCGTTACAAACAAACCTACTTCTCTTTACATGTTAGTTCTTGTTACATGGTATTGCATAAAATATTTTGCTTCAGTTGTAAACTGTATTTCTTTTTAAATTCAATTCTCACCATACCTTGCACAACAGCTGGAATCAGAAGATTTGCTACAAAATCCTGTCCCAAACTCCCTTTTGCAGCTCTGACAGTGTCATATTTTAAGCAGTAGTGGTGGTAAGGCATGTGTAAACTGCATACAAATTGAATTGCAGATTTTAAGGCAAAGAAGCCTTATAGGTGGGGTTCACTGATTGAATGCTAGGGTGTTTAGTGGTATTTAGATCCTAAAGGGAACTGTAGTCTTTTCTAATTTTATTTTAATTCATCTTTTAATGTGTTAGATACTCATGTTTTGTTTTTCTTTTTTATGCGTTTTATTACAATTTAATGTGGTCCAAATACAATGGGTTGCACGACAGTATCCATTCAAAGTACATAGTTTGGAAGATGTGAAAGGGATATTCGTTGTGTATGTGTTCAATGTTTTCAAATTAAAGCTGAAATCGAGTCACAGTAAAACCAACCCTTCTCCCTATCTTTACTCTAGGCTGTAGTTGTAATCAACATTGCAAATGGGAAGAGGATCTCATTATACCTTATTTTTAAAGCAAAGCTGAGATCCTTGCATTGGATTCCTATTCCCTTTATGTTTAAATTGGTGGAGGGATAAGCTCCTTTTCTTCTGACAAAATGCTCACTGCAATGGAGTAGTTGGGGTGAACCCTGGGGCAGAGGCTGGGTGGCACCTGCCATCAATCGGAATGAAATCTACAAGACTCTAGAGCGGGGGTGTCAAACTGGTGGTCCTCCAGTTGTTGCAAAACTATAAGTCCCATCATGCCTCTGCCTTTGGGAGTCATGCTTGTAACTGTCAATCTTGCAATGCCTCATGGGACTTGTAGTTTGGCAACAGCTGGAGGGCCGCCAGTTTGACAACTGTGCTCTAGAGCAGTGTTTCTTAATCCTTTTTTCAGTCAAGGCACGCTCTAAAATTATGGACAGCCCTGAGGCAACCCATTCTAAAATTTAAAAAACTATTCTAATAGTTTTATATAACGCAGCAACATCCACACATGTAGGACATCCAATGCTAGAGGTGATTTGTGCTTCCACATCAAATATACTTTTGCACACTGGTCCTGACTAGTATTCTGGTGTTTCTCTTCTCCCTCAGTTTTTCTCCATCACTGAGTTAATGTGACCCTAGCAATGATAGAGAGGGGCAGGGAAGAGTCAAACAAGGATGCTGTGCAGGAAATTGATATCCTCCTTATCAACTGATGATGTCATTTGTTGTCATGACACCGGTAGCTAGCAGGTCATAATGGTGCACTGGTGCACTGTAACTGAAAGGCAGGCTTGTTCCACCCACTGGGTTGTATACAAGTTTTGGGCAACTTTTAGACATTTTGCCAAGGCATCCTGAAGAGACCTCAAGGCACACCAGGGTGCCTGGGCATCCTGATTGAGAAAAGCTACTCTAGAGGGTATGTAGTTGTACATACTTTAGTGTTTCAGTGTCTGTCTTATATGCAGCCGTTTTAAACAGAATATATAGGGATTTCAGCAAAACAGTCTTCGAATCTCACCTCTACAGTAAAATATGTTTTACTAAGCTACTATCAGCCCACATGCCCTTCAATGTTGAGGAGGTCCCCCAAAAAACAGTGGACCCCCTCCCAACCCATTGGTACCTAGTGTGGACAGGCACCAGGAACTTCCATACCCCAGCAGAGATTACCCGTAAGATGGTGGCTTATGTACCACCTACCCCCCCTTCCTTTTCCTTTCCATGGGTACGGGTGGGGCAAGTAGGCGTGTTGAGTAGTTTTAGGTGTCCCTTGTGTGTTTGGTAAGAAAAGTAAACACCTACACCATGAAAAAATGTTAAATCTCCCTTTTCACTAATCATTATTATTTACTGTTCAGGTTTCAGAAAAGGTGTCCTACCCATAAGTGGAAGCTCACAGAAGGGAGGATCACAGGTCCCCCTTCCTCACTGCTCAAACTCTGTTTGAGAATTGAATAAATTCCTCTTGCTGGCATAGTTTTAAGTGTCCAAGGCAGGCTGAGGAAGGAGTTCCCTGTGAGTTGGCTTGTCAAAATATGGGCAGTGATGTTACAGGGAACCCCTAGAAGTTAGGACCCCTGTTTTTATTGCCTTCTGTGCCCCTGTTGGGGAGTTTTTCCTATATTCCTGTCAGGACATGAAGTGATGTGAAATATGTCCAGGGGGACACAGACAAAAACAAACATGGAAAATTGATTACTATTGTTTACCCTAATTGTTCCTTCCTGAACTATCTCCATGGGGGCAGAGTCAACCCAAGATGCCATCGAGATGTCAGGAAACACATTTTTGGTAGAGTGGAGAAGGGTTGATTTCTTTGCATTCCTGGTCTAAACACACCCACAACCCCCACAGGGACAAAAAGTGAAGAGTCGTCTTCCTGGGAAGTGAAGTGTGAAGTGTAGAGTTATCGCTCACTGACTCTATCGAAAAAAGAAAGTCTTAGTTGGAGCTGGGCTTTATTGCTCAGTATCCATTTTAAATAAAAATTCCAAGCATGGATATTTTATACATAGTTACATTGGTCCAGCTGGGACCAATGTATATATGTATATACCATACCTAGGTGATACTCCTGGAAGCTAGACCCTGCTACTCCAGTGATATCCACTAGCTTCCAAGGCCCGTGCCAAGTGGCTGCACTTCTGCCTATTGAACACAGGAGGTTGGCTGCTTGGTGTGGACGCCATTCAGAGAATGCTTTGCATATTCTGAATGAATGCAAAGTATTCTCTGATTGGATGAGATGGAAAGGAGAGGTGGTGACGTCTCGCTCTCCACCTCATCCAATCAAAGAACGCTTTGCTGAATCTTTTGCTGATCATCCCTCTGGTGAATGGAGCTGGGAGCATCAAGCTTATCAAACTGTCATAATACTGCTGTCATTCCCCAGCAGTGCTGACCAGGGAGGAAGCTTACCATGTATGATATGTGCTTGATCAGCTTCAGTGGGGTACAGAAATGACAATTAGGGGTCTACTATTTCCCTGATGACTCTTAAAAGACGACCTGTCTCTCTCCTTTTAGGAGCCTTCTATGTGGCAAAAATAAAGTTAAGTAAAAAATAAAAAAGCTTTAGAAAATCATAGAACATAGAAACAATCTAAGAAAAAATTTTAAGCCCCCTCATCTCCATGTATACGCCCATACATACCTAAACACATGCGTTGGGTGCACCTACTTACGAAAACAACAATTGCGCTACACATATTAGACATTGACCCGCACTTCGGAACAACAGCAAAATTTCTAGGATGGATATCTCTAAACTGATGACCTGTAAAGGTGTCTAAAGTGTTGCCTATAGACAACTGAGATCTGCATGTTTTCAGGGCTCTATCACCTTGAAGATGAATCATCTGCAAGCCAAAGTAGACAGCAGCTTAGGGTGTGTGTGTGGGGGGGGGGGGGGTTATGGGGCCAAACTACAAGATTCATGTTTCTACAGTAAACCAGGAAGATGATTTTGTGCAATTGGTCATCAAACCTGTGTGACTTTCTTTCTGTTCGCAAGGGGTATGCACTTGTAGGTAGTCCATGGCTAATGGTAAAGCACCATGTAAGCACAATGCAGATGAGATGGCTTTTCTGTGCCTATTGCAGTCCTTATCACTGACAGTCAAAGCAATTGGGCAGGGGGGCAAATCTGCTACCTTGCCTTGGGGCTCCATTCTGCCTTTATCTGTTTGTGACTGGCCTGCAGGGAAGAACAAGGAGTATAATATATTGAAATTCATAGCTGGTATCCGGCTTTCACACAAAACAACACAGTTTTATTTATTTCTTCTCATTTCCGCCACACCTTTTGTACATACTTTTATTTGGCATGTATTGTAGAAAAAGGATATTTTATAGCTTCTGGCATTGAATCAGTCAAGTATAAAGAGATTGTAAACTTTTTTTAACTACTCTAACTACTCTCCATCAAGATGAATAATATAACCATCAGTACCTCCCCTCATGAGAGGGTACTAGGTGTAATCCTGGACTCCCATCTGTCCTTTCATCCCCAAATCCAATCACTGTCCAAATCTTGTAGACTTCACCTCCGCAACATCTCCAAGATACGCCCGTTCCTAACCTCGGAAACCACTAAGCAACTTATTCACTCCCTGGTTATCTCTCGCCTTGACTACTGTAACTCCCTCCTCATTGGCCTACCTAATCGCAGGCTATCCCCTCTTCAGTCTGTCATAAATGCTGCTGCCAGACTCATCCACCTTACTAACCATTCCATATCTGCCATCCCTCTCTGCCAATCCCTCTACTGGCTTCCCATTGTCTAGTTAATAAAATTCAAAACAATAACATATAAAGCCATTTATAACTCTGCCCCAAATTACGTCACTAATCTTGTCTTCAAATAGCACCCAAACAGTCCTCTCTGCTCCTCACATGACCTCCTGCTTTCTAGCTCCCTTGTCTCCTCCTCCCATGCTCATCTCCAGGACTTCTCCAGAGCCTCTCCCATCCTCTGGAACTCTCTACCCCAATCTATCCGACTATCGCCTACTCTGCCCACTTTTAGGCTATCTCTGAAAACCTATCTCTTCGGGGAAGCCTATCCTGCCTTCAGCTAATAACGGAATCTTCTATTCCTCCTACCAGTCCATCCCCCACAGTTATTACCTTTTGTACCACCAGCCCCTCTCTTTTAGATTGTAAGCTCCAAGGAGCAGGGCCCTCCTAACCCTCTTGTATTGAACTGTATTGTTGCTGTATTGTCTCCCTTTATATTTAGAGCTCAGAGCAAACTGTTGGCGCTATATAAATCCTGTATAATAAACTTTCCATCTAACTTTTACATTTATATATTTGTTATTTTGAAAAGCCAGTACTGGAATAGGAAAAGTAGAAGGGAAAAAGGACTTGCGGGTTTAACCGGTCATTTTTTAAATATTTTTATTGTGCTGTGTAACTGGAGAAGCGTGACGGGTGTGCTCTTTGCCTAGATTGCTATAAAGCTATTCTTTCTCAGAAACCTTGGAGGTATGACTTTTCAGATCACCTTCCCTGTATAAATTACCACATCTGGGTACAGAAATGCATGCAACATTCTCCTGTTAGGGGGGAAATTTCATCTTTTGCAAAAAAAAAAAATAATACATGCATTCATGTTGAAAAAAGGAAAAATATATTATTTGTTTACATTGGAGTCTGTAAAGTATTGCCACTGCAATCAGTGCATAACAGGTACAATGCACAGGCTCCTGCAGACTGTTGCTCCTGCCCCAGGTTCATACAAGGTACAGACCTTTTGGTTATGGATCAGGGGGAAGTAATGAATGAACTACCAGTATGGTGATGTCACCACATTTCTGCGCTCATTTGATCTGAGAGCCCCTCTTGCCATGGTGGTAAATGGGACTTGTATTCCATTCACAAATCCGTGTGAATAGATCTGTGAATGGATGAGGCTGCTGTGTGGATGTACCGTATTTATTCGAGTATAACGCGCACACGTGTATAATGCGCACCCCTAATTTTCGATTAAAAATCGGTATAAAATTTTGTTTCACTTTTTGAAGAACCAAAAATATGAAGAACACTGAATTGTGCAAAACAGCAAAACAGCAATGCTTACCGTAACGTATGGGCGAGGCGAGGAAAGGAAATGAAGAGGCGACCATATGTTACAGCGGATAAGAATTCTCACCTCCAGTGTATCTCGCCAGTTCGGGGCGCCCACTGTACGCGACGAGGGGACATAGAAAAAAAAAAAAAACGATCCCCTGTTTTCGCCGCCCCTTAAAGGGGCGGGGCCGGCACAGGGGACGTTTTTTTTTTTTTTTCTTCGCCCTCGTGTACAGTGAGCGCCTGCGCCCTCAATGGACCGGGCCGCCACTGCGTCACCCCACCAGTGCATCTCGCCAGTTCGGGC